GTCCAATCAGCATATCTGTATTTGTTTTAACTCTTATTATAAATGCTCAACCATAAAGTACACACCAGCCACTATAAATGATTATACTGTTAAGGTACTAAATGATGGCTGCAACAACTTACTACAGTACTGTAATTAAGTTACTTGAGGCAATATTTTTAATAAACTTTATATAGCAACTGGCTTTATGTTTTTAAATCAACCTATCTGCATACATTTATTGCATTGTGTTTACATGGGAATCTGCGGACTTCTTTCGGGTACTAGGATCTTCCTAGTACTASGATCTYCCTKTCTGAAATATAGGMAGATCCTAGTACTAGGATTGTGTTTGACTCTAGCAAAACACAAGTAAACGAAAAAGGAGCGATAACTCGCCTACTAGGACTAAGGGATATTTATCTTGGGACTTCTGTGGTGTGAATGTGAGTAATAACGGCCCTTTCGCTTCGAACCGTTCTCATGTAAACTAAACGCAAATGTTATTTCTCCTGGCAGAAAGATCCTACCCGATGGATCATCCTCCTCCCATGTAAACAGGGCCTAACAACTACTCGTTATCTGCCCTCCCTACTTTAGGGCTTAAAATAACGTCATTGAAAACTATGACCGTTGACAATTGGAACTTTTGAAGTCAAAACTTTGCCTTGATCGACAGTCATTTTGACTTAGTAGTAATATCATTGAGCCAGAATAATATATGACATCTATAACATAACATGTTCCCTCGAAAGCTTTTCTAAGAAACAAATCTGCCAAAATGTATCTGCCATTTCGAAGGTCAATCCATACACCTAATGGGCTAACGTGTTGCAATGTACGTTACCACCCAATTCAAACCTTTTGGGAGTAGAAGCGTTTGTCTCTACGAATTCAACTCTGAAACCAAAATATAACGAACAACGAAACTTACTGCCATATGGTTTGAATTGGGTGGAAACGTTTATAGCAACACGTTAGCCCATTAGGTCTATCGACCAGAGCCAGGTCTAGTAACTGTGACAGGAGTGTGACATGCTTCATGAAATCAAGGGTGGTGTAGCAGTGGAGTAATTGACTCTCACTTATCCAGCCTGGGTCTCAAGTTGGTTTCCTGGCCTCATTATCACCTTAATTATTTACAAGAGAAAATAAACTAAGAGAAGAAATCCCCCCATACAGCCTTGTAACCATCATGTGCACAGTTTGATGCTATTTTTAAACCATTTGTTTTTCTGCACGCGCATTTACTGCGCGCGCYCTACGCTATTTGCTTACACGTTTTTGGGTTTTTTCCGTTATTTCGACTCTGCCCTAAATATAAATGTGCATGTCGAAAGCTTGGCAAATACGACAGGAAATTGAAGTAGTAATTTGTTCAACTTTCTGGAATATTTTTACATTTATTTTCCAAAGCTTTCGACCTACATCGCCATCTTGAGGCAGATTTGAACATTTGAACATAAGAAAAGCACAAGAAAACGTTAACTAACAGCGTAGACCTCGCGCGCGCGTACTATGCGCGTGCAGAAAATCAAACGATCAAATGAATGATATCATTGGATGATATTTTTAGAATAGATTCTAAARATAGCATCACATTGTGCACATGATGGGGCACGGGGATTCCTTCTCTTAGTTCATATTCTCTTGTTATTCAATTATAGTTTGCTGGGGCATAAAGTTTTAGACGTCCCCAGCCYCCTCCCCCAGGGACTTTTGACTCGTAGCCAATCTTCCTCGACCAGTCGACACGGACAGACAGACGGACAGTGACCAAGGGAAATAGAGGGACTTAGCTCGCACTTTACCTTTGTAAAAGGGCCATGTTGTGATCCCCAGTCTAGAATCATCCCTGCACGTTTTTTTCYCAATGCCCTCTAACTGAGTCAGGTCTTTTACGTCTCTGTTATTAAGGACTGATAACAATTCTGAATCTAAGAAAGAAATTGCTGTCGAAATTAATGTAAAAATATTAAAGATGAAAATGGTCAGCTTTGCTTTGGCTTCAATTGAAGTCTTTGGTGCAAAGGGGTGCATGGTTTGAGCTCTTAAGGCTGCTTCACACTAGTGACGGAATCGGAGCGGAGTCGCAAGAGGAGCTTACGATCTAGTGTGAATCAAAGAATCGGAATCGGAATGCCCTTGGACCCCGGCACTTTTCAAGAAAAATACCCTGCACTATAACCAATATAAAATGTTCTCCATTTTGATGACAACACTATTAAATGTAAAAAATGAAGGAATAATAATTGGCTCCAGCTCACCATTCTAAATACCCACAGRAAGCACCTACTCATATTGTATTGTACACATCTAGAGGGTTATAAGGAGGACTGTATAATGGTTGCATTTCCCTCTTGAAATAAAGTTATTGTACAAGCTGTATTTATTTTTTACCGTATGCATCTTGTAGAGGAGGGTTGGTATTTACTGTAAAATTTTCTTCTACTAGTAAACTGATTTCATTTGATGTTTTTTTAACCTATATAGTGTTACGCACGAGTTGCAAGGAAGCACGTAAGACCCAGTGAATTGTTGTCAAATGTGTTTTAGTACACCAAAACTAATGTTAGATACTAAAATACGATTAAACTAGACAAAATCTAACCTATAACAAATTCTTAACGGCTCTGTACTTCTTGATTTACTTCTTATCCTAAAATCACTTTTGATATCAGCAGAATGCATTGACTTTCTCATTTCAATTTCATATAATCTAGTAGATTTCATATGATTAACATAATGCATGCGTACTTGGTCATRAACTAAATCACACACAGCTTTSACTGATGTTTTCAAAGCAATGTTTTTCATTAATGTAAACATAGATGTTTGTTTGACTATTTTATCTTTGTCAATGTCCCCTAGGACAGTTTTTGCATCAAAGAGTACATTTTTTATTTTCCTGGAGGACCATTTTGCATCCGAAGGGACTGCATTATCAGCGTCCCGAAAAACTTTTTATGCGTCGTGACGGACTTTATTAGCGTCCCGAAGGACCTTATTAGCGYCCRAGAGGAYATTKATGTTCCTCGTAGAGTATTTATTGAGGTCTTCCAAAKACATTTGAGTCATGAACCATCATCAAGATCTTTCTGGTCGTGGGAATGATCGTTTTCTTACCGTCTGCAGTGGTTCGATGTAGGGCCGTCAAACAAACWCCTTGTTTTTTCATTCATCTTTCTATTTAAAAGCTTTCGTATCCCGTTTGGAATTCTAAGACATTCCCCAAAAACATACTTTGGAATTAATCATTCTTTAAAGTGCTAGTCTTACGAAAAAATTAATGACGCAAAAAAATCCCCAATTTTGTATATGCTTAAATAGGTTATAATGTTCACCAATAAACAATAATTGGTTCGAAAAAGAAACTTTTCCCGTCTGAATTCTACTTCCGTAAATTGTTAAAAGCTCGTCCGCCATTTCTATGAGCAGCGATTTTTAATTTATGTGTGGCGTCATATGCGCAACTGGCATCCTTTTTATCCACACTGACTCTAATGCACTCCCTGTAAGAAAACATGATTTGGTTTAAGGCCTGTTTTTAAATCAAAAATAGTCGAAATTTGGTTGCAATTACACATTGTGAATAGCCGGGAATTTTGAAGGTGGCGCGTATGACGTCACTTTCTTCGAATCACTAAAAGTTACCAGGAACGCAATCGCTTAATGGCGGACTCAAACGGCCAAACTTTACCGGCTAAATGCACCATCTTCCCAGTCTCGTATCAAAAAAGAATTTGGACAGTAAGCTATATTACATATCTAGTTTTATATGCTACAATTTCCAGGGATGGTGTCATTTTCGTAAGACTAGCACTTTAAACGAAGTGACTAAACGTCCGGCAGTGGGACACGGTATTCAAATAACTAAACGTCCGGCAGTCCGAAATTTTCCCATATTTCTCTTTGAAATCGGCCAATTTTTTTTGAAACTGTTTATCTTTATTAAGAATCCCCAAGCGCTTCCAAAAACCAAAAAATCCGAGCTTTCTCTTTTTAGCCAACCCTGTACATAGAGTACGAGCGATGCAAGTGTGACACTTAGAAAATGTTATTCTGACACATATCATTCTYTTTGAAATCGGCCAATCTTTCTTTCGAAACTTTTTGTTTTTATTTAGAATCTTAAATGAAAGCGACSTTATAGACCGTATGCCCTCCCTGTGCATTAACTCTAACCCTGAATATGATACTGTATAAAGGGATGCATTTCTTTTTTGCTTTTTTGCTTTCGGATTTTTTGTTTTTTTGGAGGCGCTTGGGGATTCTTAATAAAGATAAACGGTTTCAAAATTTAAAAAAATTTCCGATTTCAAGGAGAAATATGGGAAAATTTCGGACTGCCGGACGTTTAGTTATTTGAAGACCGTGTCCGGCTGCCGGACGTTTAGTCGCTTCGTTCTTTACTAGTAAAAGCTGTGTCTGATCACATTAAATAAAGAAAAGGAAAACATTGCTTGAACTTAACTTATCAAAATATCTAGCTTTACGAAGCGAGGACATGGAAAGGCGAGTTTACAGTCAGGGTTCTGGCCAAGCTTGGGCTTGCTGTTTTGTTTCGAATGGCTTC